TAACAGCAGCAATGTAATGTTGTGTAGTCAATATTTCCGTTGATTACTAGTATAGCCTAAAGACCAAAGTTAGACAAGTTTGTATAAGAGGGTGCCGATTACATTCAGGCGATTAACATCCATAGTAGATCTACTCAAAACCAGTGTCAAAAGACAACGGTAGGTTTAAACTCTGAGCACATTTTGACTCTAATAAAAGAAGACAGGATTCCCTTGGGAGTTTGCATGTGATTTCCACTGTGCATGCTCTCAGAGAAACATACAGACCAGCTCCTGTTGGTGCTGCTGACTCACAAATAAAAAAGGCATAGTAGTGGAAAGAAAGTGACTCGTATCCTTTATAGCCGATGACATCACAGGAAGATGAAGATGCTCAATGACAATTCTGGTAATCAACACAATGTGTATGACCGTGCTCTTACAGGACCGTGCTCTTACAGGAATATCCACCTATGCTTTGTTGAATTTTGATAGAAATGTATAAGTAACACACTCAAAGGTATTATGGGAAATGTTGTTCTCTCAGATCGTTCAACACAATTATCAAACAAGATATGCAACAGAAAGGAGGTTCTATTTTCCAAAAATGAAACAAATATGATACAGAGCTATAGTTTCTAGTGTCTAGTGATGTTTTTGGTTTTCGTCTCCATACTTATTTACAGGTAAGAATAGCCAATGCTCATGCTAGGTCTAATAGGGATTCTTCCACAAGACAACGCAGCAGTGACTTTGTATCAGTTACTGGATAACTTTCTATAGTCATATGAAGGGACCTCATGAGTAAACTGGCTAATGGACTAACATCACCCTGTGGCCTTATGTTAGCTTAATTAATTGCTTAACTAACCATGAACCTTTAGCTCCAACTTGTTTGCTTGTCCACCTATTCCCACCACAGTGAAATCACTATAGTGTCAGAAAAAAGACATTTAAACCAAATGACATCCCTTGAAATGTTAAAGGGTTATATTTGTGCAACACCAAATGTAAGACATAATTGGTTACCAAAAAGGATTCTAATGCAGGGTATATGCAGGAATCCTGAAGTCAAATGTAATACCTTTTAAGACCTCATCGCCACTTCGAGTTCTAACCGGTTACATTGGCGACACACTTTACCTCACATTGACTATATACAGTATTGATTGTCCTTCCTCCTTATCTTCCAACCATTTGGACACAAACTTGCATTTCCCCATAACGATGTTGTTTAACAACCGGCGTAAACGGACCTTCGCGCGCTATCAAGCAGTGAGCGTGCGATGTCCTGTTCAGATGACGTCAAATCCAACGAGATGCCATAAATAAACTACACAGAATCACACTACACACCTACGCAATGATTACATTCAGGCAAACTGTAGAATGGGACACTAATGCAGAGTAGGGTGGACGTGTTACAAATACAGAATCAGTCTGAGAAAAGTGGAGCACTGCATTAAACCCCAAATGTCTTTTTTTGGACACATAACCTCTTCTACCCAAGTGGAGCAGCCTCTGTAAACCTGTGAGCACTACCAGGAACACCAGATTAGTGGGTGACATAACATTACATCAGCGAGGGATGACCTTACTAACACCCTGCTCCCTGTCGTCATAAATATCATGCTAATCACCATGGCAGTCAGCGTGCTCAACAGGTAAACCGTCTTCTACCAACAAAGCCCACTGTCGTGAAGCCTCTCAGTGACCCTTGTGTGTTAAATGTGAGACTTCTGGACATATTTGTGCCAAGCCTTGAATGAAAAGCCAACATGTGGGACCACCTACAACAGAGGGTTTGGCCTGTTAATCCTCTCATGTGGCGACATGATAAAGGCATGGATTAAAAGATAGCCAGTCATACAGTCAGTCAGTAAACACTACTGGCAGCCTCCGTCCTGATTCACTTACCCTTTACTGCACTGGGCAAGCAGGAACCAGCAGATGTGCAACCCTGGTCGTATATCTATAATGCAGTGTGCCATATATGCGTTGTGGACTATAAATAGGCTGGAAGCAACGCTGCGTCCCAGTGGATATACACTGAAGTAGTTGATTAACACAAATACAGCAACTACAGAGTATTTAAATTATTATAATGGACGGATATCAGCCCCAATGTATTCAAGAGTCTATTATCTGTTACTATGGCTTAGAGGTCTCTGCATTAGATCAATAAAAACAACAACCTTTGACCCCAAACATTCAGAAATGGCTTCTTTTAGGGTGAAATGTTCCTTATTGTACAGTTTCTCTTCACATTAACATGATCCCTTATAATTCAAATGGATTAACCAGACAGAGAATATCCCTATACTTGTATTATTAATTTCATCATAAAATGGATTACTCTTCCGTTAAAAGAGAGACTGGAGCTTAAATAAAACAAATCCATACGTTTAGGGCAGGGGTGTCAAACTCAATTTCATCACGGGCCACATTAGCATTATGGTTGCACTCAAAGGGCCGGTTGTAACTTTAAGACTATATAAAAAATACATATATAAATATTTAATATATAAAATAATGTATTACATTACATTATTGCCTCTGCATTGGGTTATTATCGGTCTACGTCTGAAAGCAGAAGTCTAGGGCAAATAATTGCAAGTCTCTTCAGTAAGAATGTCACAAAATGATTTAAAAAGAAAAGCCACATTCTGGAAAAACAAAAAAAAAGTGAAATTTTGAAAAAAAAGTGAAATTTTGAAGAAAAAAAAGTAACATTTTGAGAGAAAACATTTTAATTCTGAGAAAAAGGCAAATTCTAAGAAAAAATGCATATTTTGAAGAAAAAAATGCATATTTTGAAGAAAAAAAATTCAAATTCTGTGAACAAATTCAAATTTGAGATGCATTGTGGGACATGTAGTTTATGGGCAACGTGCTTCTGTAAAGTAGCATGTAACCGTATAATAAACATATTATATTCTTTGCAAGCTCTTATGGGGCCACATAAAATGAAGTCGCGGGCTGGCTTTGGCCCCCGGGCCTTGAGTTTGACACCCCTGGTTTAGGGCCTGTAGCTTCTTCTAAGCATAAGCACACATGTATGTTATTCCAACATATAATACTTAACATGCCTTCGAGGGGCATAAAAAGTATAGATTTAACACAAATATTATGTAAATTTAAGTAATATGTATAAGAACGTTTTGTTAATGATAGACTACTTGGAGAGGAGAGTGTATATTTCTAGAGATACAAGTTTATAAGCTTCTGAATATGTCTCAAAATTCATCTCAAGAGTTCACACTAAAAACACACTGATGTATTTTGCAATGGCTTCACAGTAGATGCAGAAACGCACCGGTACAATGAGCGAAGCATATTTCAAAATCAACAACTAAAGCATTAGGCTTGTTAAGATCTGATATCTAAAGTGAATTCCTGATTCTGACATTCACTGATAAGGTGTATGGGAGTCTATAAATTACTGTCAACTTTTAATAATAACTGTGATCAAAGGACTAGAGCTGGAAACTTCCTCAAAGGAGTTCTTATCAATAGTGTTCTCTCCTTGAACCTTGTCCTTCATATTCACTCTGCCCCAATCAACACTTTGTGAGACACAAAGAGATAAGATGCATTTAGGTCACAACCACAGAAAGACATTTTGGATCCTTGCTCACAAAGGAAAGTCATGCTAAGTCAGTCCGACCTCTGAATTATCTACAAGGACAGGAACTCCCTTAGCTGAGGTAAATGTGCCCGAAAGGCTAAACCCGGCTTGAGAAAAGTGACAGCACTGCTCTGGGGTCAGGGATAAGTTACTACTGTTATGTCTGAGTCACTTCACACACCTTGGGTGGCAATGCATCAATCAAACCATGTTTACAATGGCGTGTATTTTAGGCATTGAACTGTAAATATCTCAAATATACTAAACTGAGGTCAAGCAAGGATCATTTGAACTACCAAGATCATGCAAAAAGTTAAAGTCTTCACTGCATCAAAATCATGTAGCAACTCAGAGATGTGATCAATAATGTAAGCTCTTACATAAAAACAGCCCTACAAAGATGATAATGCTATCTCTCAGATGCAAAACCTGCCAAAAGAGTGAAAGTTACTATACAAAAATGTTAAAGTACAAAAATGGGATTTTAAAACAACTTCACCAAAGCAATCTTTCAAGTGACTGACACAGCTTTTTTATCTAGCATCATATCCTGTATTTTGTGTGTTCTTGTTGTGCATGATAATCGTTATTCACAAAGCAATACAAGTAACCTAGTTTAGGAAAAGGGAATAGCAAAACCCCCTCTCCACAAAACTTGTGACAGCAGTTGGATACTTTTGTAGTGTCATTGAGTTTATTCCCCTAAATATTTAGCTATGTCAGCCTATATGATATGGATACAAACAGTGTTTAGCTCTTATTACACCCTCCACACTGCAATTACAATCCAAGACCATTATTAAAAGCGTTAACTGCAGTAGTGTAAAGTAACTACGTACATTTACTTAAGTTGTACCCTACTTCCATTCAGAGGTAAACCGTGTACTTTTACACTACATTTATTTAATACCTTTGGCTACTTTGCAGTTTTTATTAATGATGTCAAACCAAATCAACAATGAAATAAGACTTTAGTTGCACCTGGAGTCAAAAGCTACCCTGCAGCATACAAGTGATTAAAATTACCAGCTTTGATAAAACACTTTAATGCACATATAATTTTAGTCAAAACATATCATATTTATTATTCTGAAATGGGTCAATCTGCAAACTTTTGACACCTTACGCATATTTTGATGCCAATACTTTTTCTACTTTTACTTTAGTAACATTTTGAATGCAGGACGTTTACTTGTAACAGAGTATTCCTACATTCTTCTACTTTTACTTAAGATCTGAGTACTTCTTCCACCTCTAACTGTTAACTGTCGCCACTGAACCAGCTCTGGGACTGGCTAGCCTGTTAGCATCGTGACACAATGCAGGCTTTCCAAAGCGGTTGGTCCAATAACACCGAGGAGATATTAGAGAGAAAACGTTGTCTCTCACTCGCCTTTTTCATGCGCGGAGCCTCGGCCACGGTACCGTCCCGGTTGACAAAAGCCTCTCCGCCGTTCAGCTGCGGGTCCGTCCGCTTCAAAGCCGACGCCTGAGGCATCTTCGACGGGTTCGTGTTGAGCAAACCCAGGCTGCCTTCCCCGGCTTTGGAGGGCTCCGCTGTAGGGGACGCAGCAGCGGAGGAACCGGCCTCATGTGGGTCGTTTCTGCCCAGGCATTTGCCCTCCGAGGTCGGTGTCATGGGGGAACCCGCCGGTAAGTCTTTGCCGGTGGGGACGTCTTTCAGTTCGACCTCTGCCATTTTCGCTGCCACAACCTGGACTGACATCGCTGCAGTTTCACAAAGTCCTTTTTTTCCAACACAAATAGCGAGTCGAGCGGATGTGAACGGTGGAGCGACTACGGCCCAAATGCATTGTGGTCCATGTAGTTTCTTTAAGAATTTCAAACATGTCCACCCCGGTCCACCCACAGGCCACCTTCAGCACAACTGCAACATACATCTGACATTTTACAAAACGTGAGTCAACATGGGAAGCAAATATAAAACCGTTGACAAATTATTTTTCATTTATCTATAAAGCACTCATAATTGACCACTTTTCTACTGTGCGAATTGCATTATGGGAAACGGCGTTTGTCATAAAGGAGGACGACATTAAACTAAAAAACAAACCGATTTATGCAATATAGGGCTTTTTGCTCACAGGACAAACACATTAAACATTCTACATGGTTTCATACAAACAAGCAGTCTGAATTATGAGCTTAACTCTCAATTTCCCATATGATTAAATACACCATGATGCCCTTAATGTTTACATTTTAAAGGAATTTCCCTGCAAGTGTCCCCAACATTATTTTAATGTTACTTGAAATTGTCAATCAGCATGTTCTCCAGCATCAAGTGTGTCACTGCAGCACGAGCTACTGCATCACATTACAGTGCTTGTGCGGTTGATATGCAGTATGTCATGAGAAAATGCAACCAGGAGTAAGGTCAAATCTTAAGAAATGAACTACATTGCCACCAAGTGGTTGATTTTGATAGTAGAAAATACATAATTAGGTAGAGGAAAATGAACACTTTTTGTTTTCAATATCACAATTTTATTTTCAAGTCTCATCTGAATCAAATGACATTATAGAAAATAATCAACCATGTGAAGGTTTGGAAATCAACACATTAAACACTTTTGAGAAAGCTGTTATATTCAGAAAAAAGGGTTGGTAGTTCAAAGGCTTTTTATTTGTTCATTTAATATCAAAATAATTACCAGTAGCTTTGTGTTGCATTGCATCCCAATACTATGGGAAGCTTCGGAAAACAGAATATTACAAACTTAAAAATTGTGTTTATTACTTCCAAATGCAAGGTGACTTCAAGCATGTCAGGAGCGTCTCTACTAAAGCAATCATTCAACTCTGGGGAAATAAAAATAATACTAGTTGCAAAAGATTTATTACAGCTGAGGTAACAAAAGTCAATTCCACACATACTGTATTTACATTCAAGCTAAATGGGTCTGAGCGCTCAACGTTTGACCAGATAAATCAGAGGTGTATTATTTACAAGGCTGCCATGCTGGTACATTCTCAAAATACAAAAACCTTACCATGTTATAAAAAAACCTCTGCAGCGTTTCCTAAGCACACTTTGGCGCAACATAAAGGTGTCCTTAAAATGACAATACAGAATCTTACACTAAAATTGAGAAAACTTCCAAAAATATGGATTTATCGTCTGTCCAGGTGAAGTGCTGCTTTTCCGATGTGCTGCTGAACGGGCAGTCCTTTAATTGAGGCGGTATTCCAACCAGTGTAGCCACACAGCATTGTAGGGGGGGAAATCCACCTGTAGTTCCTTGTTTCTTGTAAATGATGACGCATTAGTTTTCGAATATCCACAAGATGTTCACACCAGAGAGGCCGAGATTTACCCTCCTGCAAGAAATATGAAAAAGGAATTATTTTACAGACAAGCAGGGTCAAACCATTTAATATCAGAATGCAATCTGTGCCTGGGTGTTTGGCATTTTTGTTGAAAATGAATCAATGACAGCAGCATTAGATGTACTCACCCCAGCATCCCTGACTCCTTAGTCTTGATGACGTAGAGGAACATGAGGATTGTGTGGAACAGGTTGTTCCTGCCCTGAAATAGAAATCAAAATGGGTTTATGTAATCACACTTAGGTGTTGAAATAAGGAACACTTCTTGATTTGTTCATGAATGAGTGTTTGTTAGAAAACCCTTGAGTTTCCTGGTTTTTTCTCAGGGGTATTTGTCACATAGGTGTGAATAACAGGTTCTATACATGACCTTATACAAAGCTCTCTATGTTGTATCACTGTATAACAAGAACAAATGCATAAGAGTGTTTTATCAACTTTAATTTAAGAGATTAATACGATTTGATGAGGTTAGACCCCGGCTTACAAGCAAACAATCAAATTGACAAGAAATATCACATTTTTACAAACAGCTATTATTTAGTTTTATCCATGGCCAGAAATCATCAAATGATAACCTTTGATCTCAACCAGAAAACCCTCTAAAAACTACAATATTCAAAAGCTTACAGAACACTAACAAACCAGATTGATCTGATCTTTAATGTGTTCAGAATAGGGTTTTATACCAATTAAAAACCAAAGACTTAGAATAAGATAAAGATGTTTTCTATTTGTGATGCAATAGAAAAAAACGTTTTCTTAAAAAAGGGTAAGGTGGTGAATCCATAATGTTTTGTGCCATTTTAAAAGTGTTACGCCTATTTAGATGATAATAAGATTAACAATGTAAATCGCAATTATCATGGCCCTGGAAAATCATGACAACACATTTTCCCATCATCGCATGCCCTGAAAATATTCTCTTACTGGTGGAAATGTGTGCTACTTTCCGTCTCCCCGTTATTTGTATGTACTTTGCATTTATTATTCTACTTTTTTGATCCATTGGCAAGTTCAATCCTTAAGGGAGTGAGTAAAGATGGTTTGATCTTCCACCTTAGTGAGATATATAAAAATAAATAAGCACTGAAATCCCTTGGGATTTGATTTGAAGTCAGTAAGGGGAAAATAGGAGCGCAAACAGTTTATATAAAAGCCTGAATAAAAAGAAAGCACAGTTTGTCTTTGCTGTCACCTTGGGTAGACTGTAGACGTGTCCCTGGTAGATGAGCTGGTAGTGAGGGGGGGTGGTGCTGCTTTGGTGGATGCAGAAAAGGCTCTCCTTGGTAACATCTAAGAGAAATAACACAGAAAGATGAAACAGCATAACGAAGTGAACCAAAGAAATCACAAGCCAATATTCTTCCTTCCTGTTGGGCCAGTGTGTGTGTGTGTGTGTATGTGTATGTGTATGTGTATGTGTATGTGTATGTGTATGTGTATGTGTATGTGTGTGTGTGTGTGTGTGTGTGTGTGTGTGTGTGTGTGTTCACCAGGTTTATCGGGGGTGTGGCTGAAGTGCTGCGAGGTAAAAGTCTTCCCGTCTGGGTACTTTGGGTGGGGGGGCAGTCTGGAGTCCAAGTATGTGCAACACATATGCATGAGGACCTAAAGAGACAGAAGGAGTATTAAGCAGAGGTATTTGGAGATTAACCCCACACTGAGGAGGAAAGCCCCCCACTGTGTCACTGTATCGAGTTCTCAGCACAGATCCTGCAGTTAGAAGTCTAAAGGAAGGCCATGTCAACTTGTAATTACATATTATTAAGCACTCTGTAAACTGTATGACTTTAAGTTGCAATGCTATCTACTCCCAGACTGAGGAGGCGGCTCTCTGGTCTTTAAAATAAAAATAAAAATAAAACAAATTTGAGATGCACCTATCTTTTTTTCCAAATTTCAAAAGTCTTGCCTGTCGATTTCTATTATCTTTTTTTCTAATAATTGTAATTGACAGCCTACACACATTTTGGGGAATTTTCTTAAATATGAAAAACAGAGAAAAATTTGAGAACATTTTAACGGTGTCTGTACACTTATTTTAGAGAGTCAAATATTCATTATATATATTTTTTTAAATCTATTTCTTTTATTTTTAGAAATGAACTCGCTAAGGGGGTCTGAAAAGTTGATGATTTAGTAAGAACATGCCAATGGGTTAGTTGCTTAACAGATAACTTGCCATTTCTACTGAAACTGTGATAATCCAAGTCGCTAGATGCACTCCATTTTTACATATTTCCCACTTTACTGATACTTTAAGGACCAAATGAATAGATAAATCACGGAATATCTGATCTATAAACTAGCTGTGTGTGTGTTGACTCACAGTGCAGTCCGTGGGGAGGTCCGTGTCCCACTTCCTGTTCTTCAGATCTCCGCCACCATTCCAGCGAAAGGAGCTCATGCAGCCGCTGTGGGCCAGCTCTGACAGGACAGATCAAAAAAACATATAAGGAATAACAAATGTGTTCCACTTTCACTCATCATACCACCATCAAATCCTATTCATTGAGTTTTTTCCCCTCTCCTCACTTAAACACATGTACTTGCACACACATCATTGCATAAACGTCAGACACACACACACATTATGTAAAGTGTTGTTGAGCGTACCCTTCACACGGTCCACGAGGTATTCCTGGTTGGGAGTGATGTCCAGATACTGAACAATAGAGTTCATGGTGGGGATGGAGGAGGCTTTCATCACCGCTGCCTGCTTTAAACTGCTAATGCTGGCCTCTGGTGGAGGAGACAGAGAAAAGTAGTCGCATTAAAAAAAAAAATTCTACATTTCAGGACATTTTCTGTATTAAATGGTATGGTGTATAAACTAGGGATGTTAAGATTCACTGATTCGCACCGGCATAAACGTTCAAGATGCAAGTGCACCGGTTGAAAGAGTGCACATCGGCTACAGTTTGGGTTGAACTCGCGATGCATCGATTGTAGCGTCTTTGCATCGGTAAAAAAACGATTCATTCATATAATATCCTCTCATCCTGTCAGCACTCAGCAGAGACGATCTTTGATCTTTGCTTCGCCACTACGGAGGCCGAGAGTCTCAGTTATCAACACACATGGAAATCGAGGAGAAAGAGAAACACAGCGCACCGAAAAATACCTACAAATCAAACGTTTGGCAACACTTCGGATTTTTCAAGAAAGACGGACAACTTGAAAAATCGCTCGCAAATTGTAAACGATGCCGTGCGGCTTTAAAGTACACAAGTAGGCTAGTACGACGTGGGGTCTGCGGCTGAAAAGAAAAACCTGAAAGTAAGACATATGAGTTAAATCACTCAGTGAGGTGTTCTGTCAGTGAGAGTGGTGTTTAGTATACAGCAGACTGTGACTGCCAATAATAGTTTAAATGTCTTCCTTACAATTGTAAGCAGTTATTTGTATTCTTTATTGTTCCTATAGAAACCACTGCTTTCTGCTCACTGGTGAGTTAGCCTATGAATGAGTGTTAAGCACATCAGTCTGGCAGTTGTATGTGCATTGCACTATGGTAGTTGTTATTTGCACATTGTTAATCATGGGCAATGCATCCTTAAATTGTTTAACTGTGAGGTGTTATAACATTGTACTGTACTCTGGAGACACTACTACACTTGTGAAAAGGCCTGTTTGTGAAAGGTCCAAGTGTTTTTTTTTTTAAGGTAAAAAAGAATGGGATGCCCAGTACTAGTAGAGGGAACCAAATATGTAAAGCACTTTTTTGTTAATTTATGTTTTGCTGCATATAAGGAATAAAACAAAATCCTCTGTCGTACCATATTGAAGTATCATTATTTTGCATCGTATTGAATCGCATCGTATCGCCCCGAATCGCATAATGTTGAATCAAATCGTATCGAACTGTATCGCAACAGGGGTGAATCGTATCGTATCGCATCGCCTGGTGTTTCAAATGTATCGTTAATGTATCGTAGGCAACGTATCGAGATGCGCATCGCATTGGCCTCAGTGATGGAGATGCACATCCCTAGTATAAACACTTTCTTTAACAAACTTCTCTCTTGCTGCACATTTCACTTATCCCCGCTGGTATATACAAATAAATATGAAAAAATAAGCTCTGTTGCTTCAAAAAACATTTTCCTACAATCAAACTTTGTGTGTTGAAATCAAATATTGAAATGCAGTTTATTTTTACGTTTTTCGTATATTGCTTTGTTGGACTTTCATTGCCAAATATATGCTACAACTTTTGTGCATCTGACAATAAAGCATTTGAACCTTGACATATATAAATATTATATAATGGCTATGGTTTACCTCCTATCTGCAGCTCAGGGCAGCCCATCCTCCTGAGCTGGCTGTTGACGGAGTCGATTTCCTTCACCAGGGGGACCAAGATGGTGTCACTGATCCACTGCAGAGACACATATTAAGGTTCAGTTCCTTTTTTTGTAAAGCTTTGTGTAATTGAAAAGGAATGATGCACAATTTACAGTGAAGTTGCAATGTTAGGTACAAAAGAAAATAGAAAGTACATTATCATACTTGTGGAAAAATACGTTTTTTATAAAGAGATTAAATTACAAATTGTATAATAACATATATGACACCTTTCAGATATATCTAGTATTTCTAACGTAGTTTCCTACTTAATCAATGTAAGGTAGAAGGTTTGTCACAGATTTTTTTTTATGTGGAATAAATGTTAAACTTTTTTCATTAATAATGTTTTTTTTGTGTTAGGTGAATATGTATGAACACTCACATTTCGAAGCTTGGCGGTCCAGCTATCAATGCGGTCCACTACAGGACGACTGGTTGTGATTCTGGCCCACACCTGAATAACAGGAGGGGGAAAATATATAATGTCAATCATGCATTCAACTAAGACACAGACAGACTAACTCATCCATATACATTTTCTTTACAACGGTACACCAACACTGCTTATTCACAGACCTCCTCTGCAGCCTGTTTGGAGCCCAGGTCCGTCTCGTCCTTGCTGGCAGACGGAGCCAGAGAGCGGCAGGCCGGCTGGTACAGGAACTTCCTCAGGCTCTGGGCATAGTCTCCCACGGAGCGGTTGTAGTTCCAAAATGTTGGGCTGTGGCTCGGAGACACAGCCTCTGGACTCCCTATTGAGAGCATCAATGTTCATTCTGTGGTTATAAATATTGCCACGTATCTCCACAATAAGGGAGATTGAGATAATTCTTTACAAAAACTCTTTGTCTAGATCTGCTGTTTATACTAGCAGTGACATTCGTACAACCTTAGGTCACATTAAGGTTTTTTTTCTTTTTCAAATGACAGAACTATCTGAAAGAGGTGTGTTGTTTTTTTAAATAAAATACTTCCTCATCAGCAGCCAATCCATTTTAAATTGTACAATGTAGCATTCATATTTTTTTCTTACCCATTCACCACTGTTAAAGACGGTAATACAATGTAAACATTTTTTTTTACAACTGTACCTAGCTGGCTGCGGTGACTCCTCTCCCCCTCTGTTCGGAGGAACCTCTCCAGGCTTTTCAAATCCTCCATGTAGTCCTCCTTGCTTCCAGGGGAGTTAAACACTGAGGGGGACGTGCGGTATCGGGCTCTCAAACTGGAGCCTTCTGCTGGTCCGATGCTGCTGGCGTAGGGAGAGGAGCCAGGGGAGGGACTGTAGTTCAACACCTGAGAAAGGAAGGACATAATGTGCTCAATGTGAAGAGGAGAAACACAGAAGGAGTTATTCAATAAATTGCTAGGATAGATAACAGTGATGTAAGGGACGTACCTTTCCAAAGGCAACTGAGGAGGAAAAGGCCCCCCCTGCACTGTTTGGGGTGGATGGGCTGCCGAGCGGAGGGCTGTACCCGGGTACACAGCTCGGGGAGAACTTGGGGCTGGTAGTGGCCGGTCTTGAGGGGCTGAAACTCAGAACACTTTGGCCCTGCAGCGGAGACGACTGGGCCGGGGCTGGGGTCTCCTTTTTTTCAGGCTTTTGGGGCGGAGAGGCAAGAATACCTAGGAGGGGAGAGACAACAAGCAGCATACTTAGAACTTAATTTCTTTACTTACATCTAATAAGAAATGTTGCAGGTAAAAAAACAGAGCCTCACTTGTGTTTCTCAGACCCAGGAGTTTATGCTGCTCAGGGGATACAGCAATGGAGGAGGGAGCCATGGTGTATTTGAAATATTTCCAGAAGTCAAAAAGAGCATTAAGGCTAAACAGAGAGGCGAGCGCCAGTTCTGCAAACAAGGAAAGAAGATTAACACATTTTTGACAGGATCTTCCAGAACATATTATAAACATGTCTGTCTGTCTGTTAGAGTCAATTTCAGATTTTCTTTTTTAATATCATTTAGATGAAGGCTTTTTGTCCATCAGACATCCATTAATAAATGAGTGAGCAGTGGGACCTCACCGATGTACCAGATAGGCCAGTAGGTGATGTTGTAGTATCGGCTCAGCAACTGTCCTGACCTAAAATATAGTAAAAAAGATAAACATATCATTATACTTTGCCCTGGACAGATGGAAGATGGTAGTTAGTAAATCAGTGCTTCATTGCAAACAGTTGCTCATGTTTGCCGTAGATAACATTGCTGAACAACTTACATTTCAGTGTAAATCATGCCAGCTAGAGACACGTTCAGCACGGCCCAGGCCAGGACCACCTGTCGAGCCTGCTCCTCCCTCCTCATCCTCAGCGCCCTGTCTATCATGCTGGGCATCCCGTCCTTCACTGGAGTCAACATGATCTGATCTGTTCAGGCTGAGGCAAGAAGCACAAAAAGACACTGTCAGAATACCTTTACTCGTCCCACAGAAGGGAAGTGTACATTGTTACAGCAAAGAGCCAAAGACAGCTTAATATTAATTAAGAAGCATGCATAAAATATTAAAGATATTAATATAAATTACACAATTAACCAAATACACATCCAGTGCCAGTGACAGTATTGTTTTGTCCTAGCTACATTCAAGGAGAGATCTTACAAGTTAGAAATAACTAATAACGTGTAGCTTGTGTTACAAATAAATCCCTATCCTTTTGCAAATAAAACATAGTGGCACCAAACGGTGGCAACATGACACAAATGCTGGTAGTGCAGGACAGTTAGCAGACATGCTACCTAAACGGTTAGCTAAAGTTAGCTAGCTTAAATATAAACAATGCGAATACGTAGGGGAATGTTTAGATTTTAGTGTACATTTAAAACACCGAAAACACATTTGTGCTTTACCGATACAATGAAACAACCAAAATACGAATAGATAATGCATGAAATATAGATAATTCATACCACGTTAAAGTGAATGATAGCTGCACCGCTGCATGTTTTGTATTTTAACCGGAAGCTACACTACGTACTTCCGGTCCGAACTTTATTCTTTTAAATAACTTTAATTTAAGTTTAAATGTGTTTTACTATTACATAAGTCTCCAGGAACTGCAGTATAATATTTAGAAGTAGTCAAAAACAAAAGGAAAAGGGCTATTTAGTTCCCTGACAGTTACAGATAGTACTGAAGATTGTTAGATACATTGTTATAATACTTTTTTTTTATAGTGTTTAAAGATGCTAAAATGTGTTTAAGCTTAAGATAAGTAGCACACCTAGCAAAGCAATCATATGTATTAATTTATGATAATTATAGTCTGCTTTTAGTCAGAAAACATATCAAAGTAAGTTACTCATACATACTGCCAAATGAGGGCGTTATTGCTCAATTTTATCCATAGGTATTTCATGTAATGAGGATGTGATGGATGTACAGCAGCTGCATTTACACACAAATATGTATTCAGTGAAGTAGTTATTTATGCTTTCAACTTGTGTAAATCAATCAACAACATAAAGCAGCGGTTATTGTCCATTTATTCAAACATAACGCAACAGATAGGATGGAGCTATAACATTTCATAATGTTCAACAGAAACAAAAAGGAATATGAATTGAATGCCCAGCTTCACGTTTCCAAGAGTCTTACTTTCATTCACACATTGACATTTTTACTTAAATAAAAAGAAATACAAAATCATGATTTTTAAATAAATAGAGTAAAGCACAGTCCAGTTAGCAATAACATATCAGGTCTAAAATGCAAGAATATGGCATCAGAAGTTTGAATTGACATTATTATGCAACTACAAATAAACATCAGCCATTCATCCCATGTTATCGAGTGAGTCAAAAGAAACAGAGTAACTAATATTACACAGGTCTGAGGTAATGAAGAGAAAGGAGAGCTTTGTAGAAATACAGTCAGATGTTTATCAGTTCTCTTATAATATGGCAAATATTATTTTAGCAGCACTGATAAGCTTGTGAGACTTGACATATATTTATGTACAATGTGGTAATTGCAATGCAGTGAATATGTGACAATGTAACTGACATTTGGCAAAAACTGGAGGTAAACATCAGTTTTCTAGTAAAGTATATAAATAAAATCTCAAAAGGCACAGTGTTGTCAATGAGGGGGTGACAGGGACTTCTCAGAGTTATATCCTCCAACGTCTAAACCACAGTCCTCATTGCTGGCTGAGTCTGCTCCTCTTCCCCTACCATCATCTTCCTCCTCTTCTTCTTCCTCCTCCTCCTCCTCCTCCTCCTCCTCCTCCTCATCTTCTTCCTCCTCTAATTCCTGCTCCTTCCGCGACGCTCTCTCAGTCTTGGGCCCTTTGCATATTTTGAGGTGACGGGTAAGGTGGTATTTGGTGAGGAAAGCTTTGTGGCATTTCTCACAGACAAAGTCTCGTCGGCCCTCGTGAGAGTTCATGTGCTTCTTCAGGTGGTTGTTCTTGAGGAAATGTTTGTTACACTTTGGGCACTGTATCCGGCGCTCACTGCGGGGGAAAAGGACAAAAAACACACATTATATAACCTAAATAACCTTATTTGCTAAAGATCTCTCCATCTGTTTAGTTCTACAGCTTTGTATAAAGTGCAATAAATAAGTAACGTACTGTGTATGAGAGAACATGTGTTGTTTCAGGTCATGTTTCCTGATGAATGCTCGCTCACAGAGGTCACACTTGAATTTCTCTGCAACAGTATGGATGAGCATGTGTGACGCCACATGGGATTTCTGGGTGAACAACTTCTCGCAAACAGTGCATCTGTAGTTCTTCTGACCTGTTGTGGCAAAAAGAAAAAGCCATATTATGATAATTCTCCGGTTTATATTTGTATTTAGTGTCTCTACTATGACATGTTTCCATGATTTAATGTTCAAAAAGGTAAAGAAAAAATATATATATCATAATATGGCCCCTTTAATGAACCGTGTACACACCTGTGTGAATCTTGAGGTGCTGCCTGAGGTTGCTGGGATCGCTGAAGGCCTTACTGCAGTAATCACACTTGTGAGGTTTCATGCCCACGTGCCCCATGAAGTGCACGTTGAGCCTGGTGGATGTGATGAAAGCCCGGGAACACATGCTGCACTTGAATTTCTTCTCCCGAACATGACCCTGACTTTTTCCTCTGGGTGTTACATTGTTAGAGTTTCTATCACTGCTGCCTTTGCTGCTGCTGTGTAATTGTCCTGCAGCGTGGGCATGGCAGGGCCATGGGGAGGAGGAGGAGCTTGAGGTCCCATTGGCCAGCTTCTCTTCCTGGTGTTGTAGCTGTTGCTCTTGCTGCTGCTGCTGCTGCTGCTGTTGCTGAGAGTGGTCCTGCTGCGCTGGGCTGTGGCTGTGTGGAGGCTGGTTATGGCTGTGGTTGCTGTTATGGCTGCCAAGGTGAGACTTGAGCTCGGAGAAGGAGGAGCACTCTTTGCCACATTGGCAGATCTGGCCCTCTGGCACTTGAGGAACACCTGTGGAGACACAAAAGATGGTTTAACGGTCAACATCAAGCAGTGGATAACCGTCATTATAACATTTAAAATCATCTGTCATCTCACCCATCAGCCTGCAGTAGTCTCTGCTGTAGTAGAAGAGCAGCTCCTGGTCCGGGTGGATCTCTGTGGTTGTGCAGAAGAACAGTTTACCGTTGGCAGAGTAAGCCACCAGGTTCTGCTCCTCACGGCTCCTAAACACACACACATAAACACTGCATGTTTATTTACATATTGGCGAAATTGCATTGCAAACGTTGATCACGAGCGCTGACAATGTCGCATTCCTCATTATTGGGTTTGCCTTTATTATAACAGGACAATTACAGTTCATTGTGGCAAAAATGTCATTCAAAATTCTGGTTGCATTGAAATACATATTTTACTCTTTACCTTGCTTTGCGAACAAACATCATCCAGTTGCACTCGTTCTCGTCCGTTGTCACAATGTAGAATTCCAGCACATTGTTGTGGTACATCTGAAACAAAGAGACGGGTTTATCACTTAATATAGTTTTGCAGTGATTGTGACTGGAAAACCCACAGTCCAATAAAAAAAAAAGCTACTGCACTGACCTTCCATATTTGTGGCGTGTCCTTTTCTGGCCAATCAGAGAGATCCACGTTGCTACAGTGCTGGCCCGCCATTGGTCCAAAGCAGGTCCTTGAAGGAATGACGTCCCGTGCAAAAACTCCTAAAAAAGGGGGAACATTATGTCAGCAAGCTAATTCATAGTCTACCAAAAGCTTTGTCTACCTATGCATTAGCTTTTTCTATATGAAAAATAATTTCTTTATATAAAAACTTCTTATAAATGTAGTTATTTTATTTTGTAAATCACATAGATGACAGTGTTAACAAAAATACAAAATAAATTACAAGAAAAAGACAATAAAATAAATACCACAAAATGTAAAACTACTCTCAGAAAGTGCCCTTATTATTACATTAGTGTGCATAGAATCAGGTATGATGATCTTTAAAAAGTCTATCAATCTGTTCCACGGATAATAATGAACTAGCAGATATATAAATGATCACAATGCCCTTACCGAGCGGTTCGTCAGCCACTGAGATGCGCAGGCACAGCGGGCGCGGCAGAGAGAGGCGTGCCCGGCTTTGGATTGGAGCGTCTGGGATGAAGGTGACCGGGCCGTGTTCTGGGCAGTCTGAGGTATACGAGCGCTCACACAGTGTGCACCCTGGGAGAACATAACAACATATGAGTTAATACTGATACAAGTCCTTATACAGAGTCAAGTCCCTGCTTTGTGTACACCATGCTCTTTTTACTTTAAGTTTGAGACTAATCTCTACAATAACTGTTAAAAGAGTATTAGTGGAAACAAACATGGGAAAGTAAGAACACTTATAAGAGGGATTAGAGGGAAAGAAAGGTAGGCTTCAATTTGGAGGAATAATATTTTTGTTCAGAGCTTCATAGCTTTTGTCAGACCGAGAAAACATGACTTTGAAATCCATTGATATTTTTAAGGTTTAAAAGATATACAAAATAAACACTCACAGATGGTGTAGGCAGTGACCATGTTCTCCTTGTTGGAGGTAGAGTCCTCCAGCTGCAGGGTGGAGTTGACCAGCACCAGGTTGTTTTCTGGCCCCAGGGACACCTCTGCAGTGATGGGGGACACGTTGACCGCCTCCAGCCCCATCCCAGAGTGTCCGTGGAGCGACACCGGCTCCAGCTGGCCCTGGTTGAGCACCACACTGACTACGCCTGAGTTCAGTTCCCCATTTGTGAGGAGTCCTCCCGCTCCTCCTCCTCCGGTGTTCCCCACTCGACCCCCCATGTGATCCGGCTCCATCACCACAGGTAGTTCGAGAACAGTGGGTCCATGGAGGGGCATAACCCCGCCGGACGAGTCCACCCCGGTCAGTCCCTCGTGCTGAGGTTGCCTACCCCCTCCGAGCTGCTGCTGGGAGTCGGACACTGACACCACCCCGACTCCCTCCATGGAGGACAGCTCCTCCCCCATCCGGTCAGGGGACATGGGGCTGCTGACACGCGACTCCATGGCCAATCCTGAAGAGTCCAGCTCATGAGGGCCGGGCTGGTGGAGGTCCCCCTGGCCGCTGACCTGTCTGGAGTCCATGGGCACCAGGCCCTGCTCCAGGGGGCCTCCAGGGCCACTGTAGTGATCCAGACCTGAGGGGTTGTTGCTGGACACAGACAGGGTCCCATCCATGTTGAGGCTGCTGGGATGAATGTACTGAGGGGGTGGACGGTCTGCCAGATAGGACAGGATACCTACAGCAGGAAAGAAAAAGGGAAAGTGATTACTGTCACTTCATGACCCTCTAATGAGGAACAGGAATAGCGTCAGTGTAAGACTGATTCTACCACGATGCAACAAAGAACGTCATTCCTGCCTGTCAATACACTGGCAATAAGAATGACTAATATCTAATAATACAACACTGTATATATTATAATATAAATAGCATATATTGTAGTAAAATGTGCAGATTTTTACTTTAATTTGTTATATTTATATACATATTTCATTCTATTATTCTAATATTACAGTACCTGGCAATATGTGTCGGAAGTAGCTGCTCTCCAGGTGGGGGTACGGAGGCGGGGGCAAAGAGTAGTTCCTCTCCGGCAGACCACACATCACTCCTCTGTCACTCAGCGGACCCATGGGGAGCATCAGCGAGAGGGCCGAGGGGAGGGATCCCAGGGAAGGACCCAGGCTGGGGATGGCCACTGGCATGCCTGAAATATAAAAAAATAAATTAAAACAAGAATAATTTTAGCAAAGAAAGGAAAGAAATCAGTAGCCTGAGACTAGATCCTTAATATCTAATCCAACAAAGATTAATGCACAATAACTATTTTATATAGTTTAAAAGTTGATGTTCCTCTATATCAAACATAACATATGAAACATACATTATTCAAAGTGACGAATATAATGCTGTGCTTCTCTTTAACTTCAATTTGGACATTTGCTGATCACGTGATGCTTTATCTTATCACAGTAGGTCTTGCTATAGTGCGTTGTTTGAGCAAACATGCCTGGCTTGTCGCGTCTTTCATACCTGGAGTGGGAATGGGGTTGTGTGTGGGGGAGGTGGGCAGACCCAGGTGGCTGGCACTCACTGAGGGCACACTGAGCTGGTCCATGCCCACAGGACTCAGGTTCATGTCGTTCATCCTGAAGAAACAGCAGCAGAGTTACTCCAGAGACAGAGCAATAACAGACTGCTCCGGCCCCGCCGTCATAATGACAGATATAGCAAAACACTTTACAACACCTCACCTCTGGCTGGCAGATAAATCACTGCTCTATAGTTTTAGTTTCTCCCTCTCCATAACCATGAACAATGTGCACAAAATCTACCTTGCAAATCTGTAATTGATATAATATCCTACAGTATGTGTTTATATTACTGCTACTGTAGTATATGTCTATATTTCAATTGCTGCACATTTTCCCAATTTGGGATCAATAAAGTATCTATCTATCCATCTATAGGACAGCAAGCTAAATACCATGATAACAATGTGGGATATTGGCTGCTGTTTACACACTGTTAGCTAGTAGAAACACTTAGATTAAGTCTATTTTGTCGTTCTTCATTTTTGATTTATTGAGCCCTTATGTAAGTTAGCATGTAGAGACACATAGTTAATACACGTAAGCAACGTTACCTGAATTCAACAACTGTCCATCAACCATGTACTGCTGAATGGTGCTTTTATTCGTCTCTCCCTGTGAAATAAAACACCTGGTATAACAACAACATGACCTAAAACGACACACAATTCACACTTCTTATAGATATTCCATTCAAGCAGCTACAATTAATGACAGAATAACATTTAAGCGACATTTTTGCAAGTACCTTCAACCAGTGTTGTTACAATGCTAACATTAGCCTTGCTAACTTATATCTACATAGATCGTCAAAACTAAGAATTATAATGCGTTTTAACTGCAGAAATAGCTGTTACCACCGAATGTGAAGCTCCATTGCAAAAATACGTCTTATATAAAAAGGAGTACGACTTGAAAATAAAAACATACCAGCACAATAGTTCCCTGCACGGGGCCATGGCAGTATTCTGCTTCTAGTGCGCATGCGCAGCTGTAAGAGTGAATGTGTGTTGTGCTGATCTCAGGTCAGATCTTCGGTCCTCCACTCTCCCGATTCACAAAAAGCGGCGGATCGTCAGGGGGCTTTATTGTATGGAAGACAATTTTTGCCAATGTGATGGGAAAAATAAATATGTATGTCATAAAATTCCAAACTTTCCCTATATAATGACTTAATGTGACAACATTATAACTTATTCAACGAATACTGTCATTATTATTACTGGGATCTTTTTATATATAATCAAAATTAACATAACAAATACAAATATTACTTTTTGTGTTTGGTTTAAAACTTTGTGTGTGCTGTTTTAAAAAGAAAAAAGAAACAGCAGGGGAATTTATCATAGATATGGGTGTGAATACAAATCTTACCCCCCAAAAGGTCCTTTTCAATTATGCTAATAAAGACTCAAACAATCTCGATTTCAGTTTATATACAATCTTGAACATGTATCACAGAAATGGTCAAATCATTTTAATGTCAAAAACTCATCGTTAGAAATATATTAATTATTAGGTGTTACACCACACATGTTACCTTTTACAATTATAGTCCAAGAGTAAACTGGCTTGAATTATCATATGTGTACACAGCTTAGCAAATAAAAAGTATTTATATGTTGCCTACATTTGCAAAACATTTACAATGAAAAAGTCAGTAGTGTAAATTTCCATGATGAGTTGCTTCACAGTATGAACGGAAGGAAGAAAGGTTATATAAACAGTTTTATCTTGATGAGAAAACCACTCTGCATCTCCGCCCCGGATCACACCCACCATGCCTCCAGCCTCAAAACCCAAACTAACAAGATGACACACAGACTGAACATTTACCCGATGAAGAAGTGCCCACTTATAGAAGATCACAACTTAGATATTTAATCACAATAAAAAGAAAACTCTTGCTGAAAACATGAGATTACTTTGAGGAGACTCTGGCAGGGTAAGTTGCATTGATGGCACAACGTTTATTTCATATTCAACCGCTATGTACTTTAATTGTTCCCTTTTTCTATTAGAAAGATGTCTCATACATGTAAGGATATAATGGAGCTTACTCCATTCATCCCTCCACTGGCTCTCCACGGCTTCTCTATGGAAAACAGTGGAGCACACTACAAGGATGCACTACGACTGAGACTGCCCCTCCACCTGGACGCATATCTGGACCCAGTGCACGGCCAGAGGTTACCCTACAGACGGCTAACTTATTTCCCTTTCCACGTCCCCTTTGGTGTGTGTGATTATTCCTTTGAACCTGCTTTTATCCGGAAAAGGAACGAAAGGGAGCGGCACCGAGTGCGCTGCGTAAACGAAGGTTACGCACGACTCAGAGAGCATCTGCCGCAGGAGTTTGAGGACAAGCGGCTCAGCAAAGTGGAGACCCTGCGCGCTGCTATCGACTATATCAAACACCTGCAGAGTCTGCTGGACTTAAACGTGTCCGGGATGGAGATGCCACTCGTTGGAGACGCGCGTAACCGTGCGTCGCTGCCGCAGAGGACAGAGTGCAACAGTGATGGAGAATCCAAAACTGGCCTCAACGAAAGGGAGGAAATTGTTTACTGATATTAAGTGTATCTCTTTCTGTGATCTGCTGTACATTATTTAAAATTTGGAGAAAGTAAAGCATGCCAAATGGAAACAATTCACTATCTGATTGTATTCGGTCTGCATTAATCAACATCCTTTGTTTACATTTGGGGGGGTTCAGTATAGGACAAACAACCATCAAAAAAAGCTGTTGATTTCAGATTAAAATATCCTTGATTCATTTTAAGCTTGTATTCTTTTTTGCATCTTGTTGCTATTGTTGATATGGTGATTATGTGCTTTTCGGTCATTGGAAAAAAAGAAAAAATCTTATCTTGACCATATTTTATAAACTGAATGAAGTAAATTTAGCAAAAAACATAAAACAAAATATTACATAAGAATATTATGCATAAGAATTCAAAAATACATTTAAAAAGAAGAATTATACCTTTTTTGTGGTACATTTGACAGGTTGAGCATGTCATCTCAATACTTTACATATTACGTTTCCTTAATTTGTGAGGGCTAACCAAATGTTTTATCATTGTATTTAATACAGGAAAAACGATATAAATAACAAACCTATACAAGACATGACAGTATAACCTCAAAATAAAAAATAAAAGGGAAAAAGGGAATCAAATAAGACAACAATAGACAAAATAAAATTACTATAAATGAAAATCACATTTATAGTGTAGTACTGATTGAGATTGTAATATAAATATTTTACCCAACAGAAGAAAAAATGCTATCAGGCTTTAAATAACTAGTAGGCTTAACTGGTCCCTGAAGCACAGAAATGACACCTCAAACTAAGTATTCCTTAAGTGCTCTTCAAAGACCACCTACTGACTGCACCGTATATCTCAGGAAGCTTCTTCCCCTAATAGCTTAAAGAATGCATTTATCAGGCAGCCATGTGTGTGTGTTTTTGCTTCCCACCTCCGCTGACCTGCACGGAAACAGCTCACAATTTCAGATTTTCAGAAAAACCCAAACCACAAATTGGGGGGAAAAAGGTAAACATGATATTGTATACAAGTAGAAGGAGTTTGGAGAGACCAGCAGAGTGCCGTGCAAGTGAACCGTGTTGCTGCTGAAGAAAGGCATTGCTTTCCACGAAGGCGTGACATAACAAAGGTGTTGGGCTGTGCAGTTTGTGAATTAGACCCAATAATTATCCAAGTGCTGGTACCCGGGCTGGATGGTTCAGTGGCATTCTGAAGATAGGGAACATGGAGCTACTTAAATGAAAGCCTCCGCTATAATGGATGTTTTCTCTCCGGAAGCTCACACGCTGATTTTAATCTCATTCCTGCACATATTCCTTACAGACATTGCTCCACTTTACTGGAAGGTATAGTTGCGAATGCATGAATCTGATTTAGTACAAAAGCCAGAAGAAAATATGATATGTTTCGGTAATGGTAAGGATCATATCAACAGATTTATGTTATCATCTTGGTGAATCTATTTATGTCACAATAACCTTGTAGTCTTAACACAACACAGTACGAACTGCATACTTACTCCGATATCTTGGAGTCAACACATATAGACAATATCTTTTACATATACCTCGTAGATATACATAGGCAAAAAAAGCTCTCCCAATTAAGGATATGAAGCATAGAATATGAAAATGTAGTCAAAAGAAAAAGTAGAATCATGGGCAAAACATTTGACAATGACCCCTGGGACCAGTCATTTAAAAGGCCCCAGTATCTGTACAACATAGAAGCAAGACAGACTATATGGTTGTTTGTTTAGCCTCTTTTTGTTGTTGTTTTGTGACTTTAAAGTCATTTTCTGTCTTTCTGTCCTTTTAAGTCTATTGGTAGTTTTTTTAAAGGTGTTTTGCATGTCTATTTTGTCATTATTTTGGACTCTTTATAGTTGCCTAATGTCTATTTTTTGTAGTTTTTTTCCTTTTCATAATTGTTTAGTCTTGTTCTCTTTGCAGCTGTTCTGCATCTCTTTGTTGTTGGATATGTATTTAATTGGTCACTTGAGTTTATTCCTCGTTGGTACATGCGTCTTTGACTTACATATTATAGGTGAAGGCCAGTTGGGCCCCTGACACTTTGGTTTCCTGCTCCGGTTAAAAAATCCATCCACGGGTGGAATAATCAACCAAGATGGAGGAGGGAATGGATTATTGAAAAATAAATACTCCTGTGTGTGTGACAGATTAGAGTTCTTTGATAGGCCTGCTAGTGTTGCCTTCTGTGTTTAAGGCTGCAGATTAGTGCTGTGCAGGAGAGAAAATACCTGCTAACATGCACGATGACTTGGATAGATAACGTTTATCAGTTCAATAAGATCAGTGCGGGACCACCGGGTAAGGTTTCTGCAACGTGTCGAGACACAGAGCCCACATTCAGAGACGGAAACGGAACAAATGTGAGTAACAGGACACACAGTGATGTGGGGAAAATATATTGATGCACTTTAGCTTAAACAATTTCTCAGCTGCCTTGGGAATTGTATTACACAGTATCAAAGCTGAAAAATGTCCACCATTTGGGATTATTAAAAAATAAGATATTTTACAACCCTCCATTTCCAGTAGATACCTGTATAAGTGGTTGAAGCAAGTGGCATAATGTTGTTTACATTGCATTTGTGGGAAAATAATGTATTTATGAGCTACACTAGTAAACAACATTGCAATTATATTAGCAAGAAAATGTACTTAAAGTGTCAAAAGTAATGGTACTCACACAGAATGCTCACTATCAGTGTCATGTATTGAATTATTGGATCATTGTTGCAGATACATTAAGATGTAAGCAGTACTTGAAGGTTAAACTTCTTTATATACCTTTTGGTAGTTCCATCTTTAGAAACACATCTTATTTTATAAAATGGAAATTCTCAAAAAGAACACATTTCTCAAAATTGTTAGAAAGATTCGCCCCTAAATATTGACGTATATAGTTGATCATTTTGTCCACTCTCTGCATCTCTTTTATGAAGTGAACTACTGGAGTAAGGAGAAGAAAAGGATTATTATAATATATTATAATGATGCATAATTACAACAGGGCTTGTTTATAATAAAGTTACAAAATCAGGTCAGTCAAGTTTCAGTGATTCAGCAAAAACTGGTTAGTTCTTGAAGGATGACACAGAAGCCAATTATGCATCCGTAAATGTGTAATTTATTAAATTAAATACATATTTACAAGTGGGTATAAGTTAGCAAATGTGTGACATGAAGTGAAATGATGTGATTAACGTGCCTGCAGTTCATCAAGCTGCTCAAGGATGGCGTCTTTTTCGAATTCCAAAAGTGAGATCTTACGGTTCTTGTCACTCACCTCCTGTCAAAAATATGGAAACAATGGCCACATCAAAAAGAAGCAAACAGACCAATCGATCAGAAATTATTGCAAATTTAAACAAAGGCATAATTTGAATAAAAAGGAAAATGAAAGGGGGGGAAACATTTAATATAGCAAAAATAATTTCTAAAGAAAGTAACAAAACTGGACTTTATAAAAAAAATGCATTTGAACAGTTTTTAAGCTTTACAGCAGGGGTGTCCAAACTACGGCCCGGGGGCAAAATGCGGCCTGCGGACCATTTTGAATCGGCCCTCATCAAATTCAAAAAGTATAATGGAATATGGCCCACAAATGAAACTTGTGCTTGTCTTATATTGTACTTCTTAAATATAAATGTAAAAATATATTACAAAGTATTATTCACGTGTTAATAAGACCTATTTCTCCTTATTATAATCAATCTGAGGCTTCTGTTTTAAGGGATGAGCTGCCAACACTCACGAGCATAATTGACCTAGCCTACATTTGATTGATTTTGCTAATTTATAACTGAACTTATGAGGCAATATCTCTAATGAGTGGCCCAGCCCTATGTATATTTTTCTGTATCTCGGTGAAAAAAGTTTGGACACCCCTTGTTTACATTAATAACATTTCCCACATTTTCTGCTCTCCTCACCTGAGCCAGTGCTGTGTTCTGCCACCGGAGGTCGCTGTCGGTCACTGCGTCGGGCAGAGAGGCGCTGCTGCCGCTGGTCACATTGGGCTCAGTCATCACAGAGCCCAGAGAGCCGTTCACCCCGCTGGATCCGAGACCTGAGGAGGCAAGACCAGGCCTGCAGAGACGCAGGGCGGCGGGCGTTTACACCATGAGTGACAGAACACGGAGTTATGATTAGTAAAGTCAATGAGGCATGCACTCGGCCCCGCCTCCTACCTCTGCTGCTCCGTCCTGCCGGGGGTTGACCCCACTCTGCTGGGTCTGGAAGCTGCCCTGCCTGGCTCGGTTCTCCTCCAGCCGCTGGAGGTACCAGAGGCGGGCCTTCTCCAGAACCTCCAGGCCCGAGCACAGAGCGTCCTTCTCCTGCTCCAAGTCCTTCAGACGCTTAACCTGAGGTGGGAGGAAAACCTCTCAATCATGTGAATTTTAAAGATTCGTCAGGATGTTTGAAGTGGGGTTTAATAAAGGTAGGCCTACTTAAACATAGGTGTATATCACCCAGGAGGTACCCCCAGTCTGGAGAAACAGAAAGAAGTAGGCTACTTGAAAGGAAGCTAAGAAATGTACTGTGAACTGTGGAATCAGCAAATAAATATATATTTTTGTCTGAGTATGCTTTACATATTTACCTTACATGCCATTTGGCTGACGCTTTTGTCCAAAGTGACTTACATAAACACTCAAAAACTGAACCGTTGACTTTAATTAAATGTATCATGTCAACAGATTTCACATAACTGTATTAGGTTAATTGAAAGCAATAATATTAAGTTCAAATAACAAATATTCAGTTCAACCTAATACACTGATGTGAAATCTGTTGACATAAAACATTTAGTTAAAGTCAACGGTTCAGTTTTTTCAGTCCACTAAAGTTCTGTTGACATGACAACGAGAGCAACTAGGGGTTGGCGAAGGACATGTTGACTGCACCCAATATATACACTATTAAGAGTATTTAACCTTTACCTTGTCGCCAACCCCGTTTTCGTATGGTACGCTGAATTTGTTATTTATGCTCTGGCCAAAGACACCATTCTCCTTTGATAAAAATTGCAATTTTACCTTATTCAAATAAACTCTCCCATTGAGGCAGTGGTTAACCAGCTAATACCAGGTTCTGAGAGGTAAAATCATAGTTTTGTCAATGGAGTCTGGTTGCTTTTCAAAAAAGCTTAGGAAACAAATGTAGTTCCCGACGAGAAAGCAGTCCAATGGCAAGGTAAAGCAGTGAGAATTTTCTTAATATAGCAAATACTTTAACTGGAATCAAATGTTTTAAGGCTGGGTCCTTGTTTAGGTGGCTAAAATATATTTCATTTCTGCCTGTGTCCAAAGCAGGACAGAGCCTCTGTGCCAGTAGTACTTCCTGTTTCTCCAAACTGGTGGCAGGTCGACCACCATCTACTGTACATAAAACTGTCACTATGGATAAGTACTTCATATCACCCCCATAAAAAAAAAAAAGTATTTTTCATAGACAGTATCCAGACTCTTCCGGTCACATTTCCACAGTTGAAAAAAGCAGGAAACCCCCCAGAAACAAAATCATAAATGTTTATTTTGGAGGTACAGACAGTTTTGTGAGGTGTGTGTGTTTGATGGCACCATGGGGCTGACTAATGCACAGCACTGCCTGTTGTCTTCCAGAGGCCCCGAGGCTTTGTTTGAATCAGCGGAGCCAATCTACAGAGCAGCAGGGGGCCTGTAGTCCTTTTGTCCCCGCTCTTTGGAAAACATGCTGTTTAAATGGGCTCACACAGAGCTAACAACGGACAGGCAATCATAACATACTGTAGGGTGGTGGTGATACACCTCTACTGTCATGGGGTTACAGTCAGTTTTAAGGCAATCACATGACAGTGTTGTATCACTAGTTAATTATTCATTTAGCTGTGTGTGACTAATCACATTTCAAGACATGCCCACAAGCTAACTGTTATTTATTATAAGATAAGATTTTACAGCTATTATAGCAATCTCAAATCTTGACAACTGTTATAATAACACATTTACAGTAGTTGAAAAACTGGTTATATTCAGCCTTTAACAGGAAGCTGTGAGAGGCAGACTTGACATGTGGGAATGTATCACCGGGATGACTGCAGCTACCTTCAAAATAACACTGGAGCAACGATGGAAAACTGATTTAAAACAGAGGGACTTTACAAGCACCTAGGTTAAATGTCCAGTATCAAGAAAACAAGTTCTGTTTTAACATGATTTATTCAGTCGAGCTGTCATTTGCCAGTTTAGTCATTGTACATCTATCTTTTTCATTTCCCAATAAAAACTTATTTTCAAAGCCGACGACTACAGTGTGATTACTACCAAAATAAATATAATAAATACAGGATTTACCAGCAAGAAGTGTATTTATTGCAGTGTGGAGAATGCTTTCGAGCTGCAAAATGTACAGGAAATATAATTTAACAGTAAGTCTGGATCTATTCATAATATTAAAAACACTACTACTGATTTAAAATGTAATCTTTTTAAAGGGTGTGTATTGCAGGAAGTTGGAATAATTATTAGTATTTTAAAAAATCCAAATGATTCTGCCTTCCTGTTGACACTCCTTCCATGTACTATTAATATAATAACTAAATTCAAACACGTTTAGATTAGTCAAAATCATGTAAAGGCCTTTATTGTGATTGTGTGTGTCTAAATTGACTATAGAAATCTCTTTTAGTATCAGTTGAATTTAAAAAAGTGAACTATTTCACAGGATGACTCAAATGAATAATTAGTTCCACATTCCAGAGGAATAGGAAATGTCATGTGAACGTTCCGTGTCCATATAATTCCAACTGGTGACACTCGAGAAGCAGTAAACTTTTTATAATGTACAGTAAGCTTTTACAGTATAACTATAGTCATTGGTGCTGAAAACTGTGAAACAAAACACATGTTCATACACACATTAGCCGATAAGAATCCTCAACTGTTGAGAAGCACACTCAAAGAGATGTACCTGATTAAAAAGCATGTTCATACACCCCCCCCCCCCCCCCCCCACACACACACCACAACATCACACCCACACACCACACACACACACACACACACACTACAACACACACATCACACACCACACACACACACACACAAACACACACACACACACCACACACACCCACACACACACACACACACACACACACATATCACACACACACCACACACACACACACACATACACACACACACACACCAACCACACACACACACATCACACACACACACCACCACCTCCCTACTCACCCATAGGTAGAAGCGCAGAGCGTCCAGGCTGTAGAGGCTGCTCCTGAGCGGGATGATTACCACGGTGTAGGAGGCAGAGCCGGGGGGTCGACAGGCCATGGAGCTCTGAGACCACTACCACTGCCCCACAGCTGAACCACAAACAACAAACCCAGCCAACACCGGCTGACTCACAATAACACCACAGAGGTGACAGTGTGTGTGTGTGTGAGAGAGAGAGAGAGAGAGAGAGAGAGAGAGAGAGAGAGAGAGAGAGAGAGAGAGAGAGAGAGAGAGAGAGAGAGAGAAGGCAGGGGTGGGAAAAAAACCTGCACGATACACAGGCACAGACAGCATTGTGCCCCCGGGGCGAGGTAATGAAAAATTCCACATGTCACTGCCATGACTGGGTACTCTACACGTTTTGGGGAGTAATGGATTACATGTAATGGGATTACCTGATCAGGATACAAACAAAGTATTCCCTTACAGTCACATACAAAATATGTAATCAGATTACTGTTACTTTTTCTTAAATGGGGATAACTTGCAGGATCTATCAATAAAGTTTAATTCAAAATTCAGGTTGGTTTTCATTTAGGCTACTTTAATTTTTATGTTTTTAATGCAGTACATGGATACCTGATTTAATTTTTGTATCCATATATAATTGTTGTAAACTCTACTATTCTGTAGGTCTAGCCTAAATTTAAGAGGACACATTTTTTATCCTAAATATCCTATATGGTTTCCTCTTTTCTAAAGTTACATCCCTGTAATCGGCACAGTGACAGAGTGAGAGGGGTGCAACAGTGAGTACAGGATCAAATAAGGCAGAGAAGACCACAGTGAGGGGCAGGAAGTGGAGCTGGGGATGGCAGATATGAGAGGAGGATACAGGTGTGTTGTTTGCCAGCTAAAACAAGCCTCTTTCTCTGGCAGAAGCTTCCAGCAATCATGGAGTGAAAACATTCCTGTGCTGAATGGGAAGAGGGTGCATGTGATTATTATTCTGGTTTCAGGTGAGCACTCTGTTCCGACATGTTCGCAGGAATGTGACATAACCTGGGGACAAGCAGTGTGCGTGCCAGTGGACATTAGGGCAAACAAGCAAAACAGACAAGTACAGTTTGGAAAGCAGGGACAGAGGGTGGAGCGCTGCATTGATAACACCGTCATCACTACAGCACTCAGCTGTTCTGCTGGTCGATGTCAGGGCAGAAATCAGTGGCACACGTTCCTTTATAACTGCCTCAGGCCATACTGAAAGTAAGGATGGATGAAAACTGAAACAGTGGCTATATGTGCAGCTCAAAAATGTGGTTATCATATATTTTTCTTGGCATTAAAAACAATCTGGTGAATATGACACAAGCTGTAGAAGCTCTCTGTCATCCGATTTCAAATGCTTGCCTATGTATCATCAATTATGTGTATGAATGATGAGATTTTATTTAGAGTGATACTAAGGTGTTTCTTTTTATATTTGTGATTCCATTCATGAGCCATTGAAACCTTGTCTTTCCCACTTTAATGCTGCAGTCCTGCTTGATCCCCAGCAGAGAGAGCTATGAGTGCATATGGCTCATAAACTGAGCTGACATTTTGTCACTTTTTATAATATCCTTATGAAGCTGTATCTTTCCCACAGGCAGCACCAGATGGCGCTGCAGAGTGAAGCTACAGAGCGCCAGGATACTACCAAAAGTATGTCAACTATCCAACCTTTATTAAAGGTCCCATGTCATGGCCATTTCAACTGATCATAATTCCATTGTTGAGGTCTACTAGAATAAATGTATATTGTGCAATTTTCCAAACTCACATTGGTTTCTCATACAGCATCTCTGTATAGTATGTGTATTCACTCTCTGTCCTAAACGGCTTGTTGGAGCTCCTGCTCCCTGTGAGCCCAGTGTGCTCTGATTGGTCAGCTCGCCCACTCTGTTCTGATGAGTCTACCACCGTTACAGCGGAACATCAGTGATTATGTGTTACAATGGCGTTTGTTAGCAACCAGAAAATGACACCAGTAAGGACAAACAGATGAGGAATGCTGCGTTGGGTCTGGGTGCCGTGTTGGCGGGACAGTGTGAGCTGGGTTCATTTCCTGCTTGCTGCGTGGGATCTGCGAGACATCGAGACATCGCGAATGGACGCGGGAAGGGAGGGGGGGGGGGTGCTGAGGGGGCCCATCTGTGAGGCTCCACTAGCACATTTCATTCGTGACTATAACACGGCATTTCGTGTTATAGTCACAAAATTAATCTATTGATTCGTGTTCACCAACACGATTTTGCCATTTTTTTCGTGTCACACAGAACGATTTTAAAAGCAATGTAAATAATAACAAATTAGAAGGAAAAAAAGATGACACAAAATGCAGATTTCAATATACTGAGGCTCTGAGCCCCATTTCTTTTCCTCGCGGATTGCAAAAAAACTCAGACATTATACAATTTTAAATAAAAGGGAAAGGGTTAGGCTTAGGGTAAGATTTTGAGTAAGAAAATGTTTTTATGAACCACACAGCTTCTGGTATTCCAAGACCCGTCTGGACAAAAAGACGTGGTGCAGGCACGAAACACACTACCAATAGAAATACATTGCTTTTAAAATCGTTCTGTGTGACACGAAAAAAATGCAAAAATCGTGTTGGTGAACACGAATCAATAGATTAAATTAATTTTGTGACTATAACACGAAATGCCGTGAGACTGGGTTGGACCACCACACAATACACACTGTTGCAATAGTGTGCAATAAACCTGCAATGTGCAATACAGACACTTGTTGTACTGTGCAATTATGACTTTTATGTGAAAAAACATACATTTTAATAAATGTCTCAACCTATTTTTAAATCGCTGCTTCTCATTCTTAGCAAAGGCTGTGTACTTATTGGTCTTTATTTGTTTTATTCTATTACTAATGTGTGTTTTTCTTCTCTATATTAAAAAGTTAAATTACTCTATTACTACTATTTCCCCGCTGCAGGACTAATAAAGGAAGTCTGATTCTGATTAATAAGGTCCCTGGGGGCCACTTTCACTGTACATAACACACCTTATTTTGTATTTTGTACATTTGTTATCTTTAATATTTTTTATGCATGCTTCTTAGTTAATATTAAGCTATCTTTGGCTCTTTTCTGCTGTTACAAATAAATGTAAATGTACCCTCTATGGGACGAGTAAAGGTACTCTGATTCTGATTGTGCTTTACATGTGGATATTCCTTATTTATAAAAAATAGTTTATTTCTGTTATATTTTCACAATGAGTCACAAGCTGAAGGCTAATCACTCTTGAGGCTTGGGGTTCGGATCAAAACATGGGATTAAGAGCTCTGTGTGCTCCAGCGTCTCTGACACGCAGCCTGAGGGGAACCCATGACTGTTACATCACCGGACACATGATGCTCCAGCAGCAAAAAGACTGGAGCTCTTCATGAGCTCATGACAGGCGTTCAAGAAGAAATTGTGCGTCTTCTACATTTGGCTTTTTTTTGGGAGAGACATAAAATGCTTTAAACTCCTACATAGTTTAAATGTATGTTAAGGAATGTATGTGACTTTACAGAGGCGTCTTTACAATAAAAACTCAGCCCCCTTTGTGTTGTCACAGATCACGATGAGTTTCCACCGTGGGGCCCCCGAGGGGGACGTTCACATTGTCACACAATTAGTGTGAAATATATTCATAAAAGCTGCATTTCACACTCATTCACTTCACGTCGGAGGCTTTTATGGTGATCTCTTAAGTTACACACAAGTCTACACACACACAGGCAGACACACAGACACACACACTGAAGTAGCCTATACAGACTCTTTTTAGTCACTACTACTACTTTGCGGTAGTGGGCCCCTATTGCTTCCTGTCTCTTCCTCACACACACACACTTTCACACACATATTTGCAGTCTTGCTGTCACTACTATTTTCTTACATAGTTTTGAAACCGCTAAGAATGGAAATGACATGTGAACATGCATTTGAAAGCAGCGAGAGTGGTCACAATAACAGCAGTGCAGCTCAGCCAGGGAGATTTGAGAAATGATTCAGGGCCAGAGAAGTCGGGCCCTCTCTTTTAGCCTCTCCAGCACCACTGGTTGCTAAAGGCTCACTGTTCCAGATCATAGCTCCAAGGAATCTAATCCAGATATGTAACCCCCCCCCCCCCCCCACCACACACACACATGCATGCATGCATGCACACACACACACACACACACACACACACACACACACACACACACACACACACACACACACACACACACACACACACACACACACACACACACACACACACACACACACACACACACACACACACACACACACACACACACACACACACACACACTTCAATCAAGAAGACCTGCGTCACTCTGGTCTCTCTAAGGGGCCTCATTACAGACTCACACTAACATATTGTCCTCAGAAACCCTAGCAATGAATTCAGAAAAAGTGAAATACAAAAAGATAGGTTTTCAAGTCAAAGGTGTTTTTTAAGTAAGATTAAGTAACATTTTTTCATGGTTTTAATCTAAAATATAGTAGCTAAAATGTCATTACACATAGTATTGCAATGATTTTTTACAAATTAAATTCAGTTGTAATGTGATCTAAAAAGAACAAGATAAGATTGTTTTATTTTAAACTCTGGTGGAGAGCTTATAGTTTTCCGAAATATGCCAAATAAGCGCAAGAATATTTATTACTGTAGCAGTACACAATGCACATTTTAAGATAACCTGCTTTTTCTAACCTCAAAGGGGTACTCTGATTTGAAGTGCACTTTCATAAAGTTCAGGGACTCAAAAGAACTCAAAGAGTTGTCAAAATGGAAGCATCCGAGGCCGAGCTATCCTGCCTTTTAAGTCTCTTAAGCAGGACAAGCACCAAGAACTAATGATCCTACATTTCCCAAAATGCCGGTCAATAGCGTCTTTGATTTAATCCTCCCTGCTTCCTGAATGCAAATATCTTTATACCCCACATTTTATGTATTGTTAAAAATCTTAAGGCAAATCGGAAACGACATCGCTATGATCGTGGGAAGTATACCTGAACATTATATGTTTTTTGCCTTACCTCTGTCTCCATCCACTCTTTTTTTCCCTCTTTCTTGCTTGTTTCTCTTGCAGTAAGACATTGCAGCACATATATTGTACCTAAGCACAATAAGGACCCTGTTACCATTAATACCAGGGACCCCCAACACAGGGACCCATTCACCTCT